CAGTTAGTTGTGGTTGTCATTTGTGCTTATAGTGTTGATATTTTTCTTTTCACCCTCCTCTCATGATGTGAGACCCTGTACTGACACTGAAAAAATATATTACAGAGCTTATCTTTTTCACACCCTTGATGTACACATGTTGATTGGTGAGTTAATCCACTGTTGCATGATGGAACAGAGATGGGCAGTATTTATGTTACATGTTTTTGAAATAAGTATTTCAATTACTTTTAAGTATTTTATCATTTGTATTTAACTGGCATGAACTACAATGCAATGCATTATGTTATAAGTTACACTATTTCAAAATATAAAATACTTCTCTATACCATTTTATAGCAGCTCACAATTTCGTGGCCACCTATCACCCCAAATGTCCTGCAATGGTGTCAGAAGTGTGATGGCATTATGATGTGATAAAAGCGTCTGCTAAATTATTATTAATGTTATGTGAAAATGAACACTTGCAAAGCACACTGGGTATTAGTCTAATTATCTCCATCCCCAAACAAGGCCAAATTTGATTACAATACAAATTATTTGGACAATACGATTTAAAAGAAAATTGGTTCAGTGGGTACTGACGGAATATAGGGCTAAGGGAACGTAAGGCTGGGGGAACATACAGTACCAGTCAAAAGTTTGGACACACCTACTCATTCAAGGTGTTTTCTTTATTTGTACTATTGGGGATTGTGGAGGCCAGGTCATCTGATGCAGCACTCCATCACTCTCCTTCTTGGTAAAATAGCCCTTACACAGCCTGGAGGTGTGTTGGGTCATTGTTCTGTTGAAAAACGAATGATAGTCCCACTAAGCCCAAACCAGATGGGATGGCGTATCGCTGCAGAATGCTGTGGTAGCCGTGCTAGTTAAGTGTGCCTTGAATTCTAAATAAATCACAGACGGTGTCACCAGCAAAGCACCCCCACACCATAACACCTCCTCCTCCATGCTTTACAGTGGGAACAACACATGCGGAGATCATCCGTTCACCCACACCGCGTCTCACAAAGACACAGCGGTTGGAACCAAAAATCTCAAATTTGGACTCCAGACCAAAGGACACATTTCCACCGGTCTAATGTCCATTGCTCGTGTTTCTTGGCCCAGGCAGGTCTCTTCTTATTATTGGTGTCCTTTAGTAGTGGTTTCTTTGCAGCAATTTGACCACGAAGGCCTGATTCACAGTCCCCTCTGAATAGTTGATGTTGAGATGTGTCTGTGACTTGAACTCTGTGAAGCATTTATTTGGGCTGCAATTTCTGAGGCTGGTAACTCTAATGAACGTATCCTCTGCACCAGAGGTAACTCTGGGTCTTCCATTCCAGTGGCGGTCCTCATGAGAGCCAGTTTCATCATAGCGCCTGATGTGTTTTCCGACTGCACTTGAAGAAACTTTCAAAGTTCTTGACATTTTCCGTATTGACTGACCTTCATGTCTTAAAGTAATGATGGACTGTCGTTTCTCTCTTCTTATTTGAGCTGTTTTTGCCATAATATGGACTTGGTCTTTTACCAAATAGGGCTATCTTCTCTATATGTAGGTTGAGGGAACATAGGGCTGAGTGAATATAGGGCTGAGTGAATATAGGGCCCAGTGAACATTGGCTGAGGGAACATAGGGCCCAGGGAACATAGGGCTGAAGGAACATAGGTTGAGGGAACATAGGGCTGAGGGAACATAGGGCTGAGGGAACATAGGGCTGAAGTTACATAGGTTGAGGGAACATAGGGCTGAGGGAACATAGATTGAGGGAACATAGGGCTGAGGGAACATAGGCTGAGGGAACATAGAGCCCAGGGAACATAGGGCTGAGGGAACATAGGGCTGAGTGAATATAGGGCGCAGTGAACATATGTTGAGGGAATATAGGGCCCAGGGAACATAGGGCTGAAGGAACATAGATTGAGGGAACATAGGGCTAAGGGAACATACGGTTTCGTTTCTGTAAGAGATTACTAATATGACACATTGGACCTCTCTCTCTTACCCCACTCTCTCTCTCTCGCTCTCGCTCATTTCTCATTTAAGAATTAAAAATCATAGTTCAGTTCAGGTTGGAACACATGAGCTACAATAATATGGCTTTATGAATGTTATAGAGGAACCATATGATTCAGCAAATTGAATCCATTAAAATAATATCTAATATTAGAGCCATTTCCATAACTAAATCTGCTCGTCCAAAGACAAAGAATATTATCATAATCTGTAACATTTCTCTTCCCGTTATCTTCCACAGCCATTATTGTATTTGGTTGTATTATGTTCAGTTAGAGAGAAAAATGTTATCTACTTGATCAATAAGCTGTTTTTTAACCTATGACATTGTCAACAGCCAAGCATTTTCAAACATGCACAGGATACAGCTGGTCATCATGGTGGTGACGGCTGCTGCCCCCAGCCTTCATCTTGAATTAAGAATGAGTCAAATCTAGCGATGCCTTATAGTCAGACAATCCACATATAGTACTACACACAGTTAAGCTAAGCTTATATTTACACCAAACCATGAGCACAGACGTGAAGTGTCAACCTATCTGATCCAATTAACAATAGGAGGATATGCATTTTGTGGTTACTGATGTTAAATAAAACGTGTCAGCAACAGCTCAGCTCAGCACCCATTTCGGGCTGTTTGTCTCAACAGGGCGTGGGCCTCACTCCCTCTCACTCTGAGGTAATTGAATCAGAGAGAATGCGCCAGCCAGGAAGGCAAACGACGTGACAGCCAAAAATCTATGGCTTGTCCTTTGTGACCATTCCTCTTCTCTCTCCTTTGCTCTGAAATGCAGTTATCTGTTATGTGTGTAGCGCAAGGTTATTTTTAATACGAACTCACAACAAGCGAGACAAAAACAAAACAGAAACCCAACACAGCATCAGCTATTCGCACTGCGCGTAGTGGTAGACCTTATAGAGACGTAGAGCAGCAGCATCAGCTTCCAATACTCACGCTTTCCGTTTCTGGGTGATAACACAATGCTGTAATATCAACAGAACTGATACACGTACTGTAGAGACCCTGTGTTTATAAGTGCGAATATCGACTCTGTCACTTCAGCATGCTTTTGTGGCACAGTCGTTGGCGCACAGGGCTATGGGCCAGAAGGTTGAGGGTACGAGCCGCATTCCCTGACCGTTTCATTACAATACTAATGTTCCACCCCATCCTCTCACATCCACCTGTATTCCCCTCTCCGCCCTCCATCCCTCAGTATTGAGCGATCGAGAAGATACCCGCTCTGCGCGGACGCCCTTCAATGCTCCGTCGACGGGTTTGTTGTCTTACCTGCAGCCTGGAGGAGTGAGGGAGTGGAAGGTGGAGAGGGAGAACATCTCAGCCCTGTCCGCCATCTTCCTCCAAAAACGACTCGAAGTGACTGCAGAGAATCACTGAGGGACCACAGTCCACTCACAACCGCGGAGCGCGCTACAGACAGACGCAGTCACGGACAGCCCGGTTTCTCTCGCTCTCCCTCCCTCTATCCTACCGCCACGCTGTTACAGATCCCCCTGGCCTCGACCTAGTCAAATCAGATACGCGTACTCAGCATCACCATCAAATATACCTTGAGCTGCTATCCACTCTACAGCCCGGAAATGGCAGAGAACAGAGAAAAAGAACAACACTGCGGTAATCACAGAAAAAAGTCCTATCTTCTCCCGATGCAGCCAGACCAGCCACATAACCCGCAGTCCGCTTCCTGCCTTGCCAAATGTCTGCCGCTGTGATGATGCATATGACACGAAGCGGCGGTAGGCCAGCGGTGCACAGAGGGAGGGGGAGGCAGGGGGGAGGGGGTGTTGGTGGAGACGGCAGACCCAATGCCATCCGTCTCTAACGTTAACGGGAAAGGGAAAGAGCTTGCAGAGCAGTGATTTAGTACATGAGTGTGGGCAGAGCAGACAGAGGGAAAGGCAATGTGGATAAGTGGACCAATTCTGCTCTCTGGCAACAATCATAAACCAAAAAGACCCACCGCTATTATAGGTTATGTCACGAATAGGAACAGTAGGAAAACATGCTTTTCCATTCAAGGTCAAACCCAGATTATAGCAACAAAATATATTAAATGGTCTTGTCATGTGATTGGCGATATCGTTCATTCTCGACTGGAGAGGGTGGGTGGGTGGTAGCCTGTGCATGTGATAAGATATTTAACCTCCTGCTAAGGGGTCCATAGAGCACCATGCCTCTACTACATAAAATGACAGGCGGGATCGTTTTTTAATAACACTAAAATGTGGAATGTCTTAACTGCCATACAATACTTGTTTGTGAAAGCTTTGCCATGAAAACTATAGTTTGACAAAGCTGTGATTGCAGGGAATAGACCTAAATGTTAGCTCAATAATACCGCCATTGACAATGGGGATTGGGGCTGTATGTCTCATCGACGCTCTAAACGCCACGAGGAGCTGTTCAGTTGCTTGGGTGCTGAATTCTAGTTCTAGTATTCCGCCCCATGTGGTCAAACTAAGCATTTACCGATTAGGGAAATGACAGAATTACCCTGTGCTTCAAGGAGATCCACCGCATGTGGGTGCCCTAACACCTCAACAGATTATTCATCTGGTCTTGTTAAAAAAAGTTTAAAATAGCACCCTGCTTTCCTTTATACACTTCATTCCTTCCTATATACATTCATACACACATAATTAGGGCTCATGTGAATTGTCTGAGGTCATCCCTTTATACTGATCTGAGAGCACATGTTGGTAACATTGGAGAACAGGCTACAAGGAGACTCATTCAAGCTGACAAATGCAACATCAGTACTATTATGGTCTAATATGGTATTTGTTATGAGCATAATAATAAGTTACTTTTGGAAACAGAGTTGTGCATTTGATTAATATGCCTAGGTCTTTTTTTATCTGTTCAGCACCTAAACTAGTGCATTGCTTTAGTCTTTCACTAATTAATGCACAATATCAACAGCAGGAATGAAGACACAGACGATGATGAACCATCAACTATGTTTATTTCAATGGGCATGCCAATGGCAGGTTCTGAATTTATTACACAACCTTCTCCGTGATAAAGATGGGACCAAGCTGAACATCTCCCTCCCATATATCTGAGGAGAGAGCAGACAAAAGGACAGGAGAGTCATTACACATATCCAAAAGCAGCCTTCAGCAGCTGGACAATACAAAGACAGCTAGGTTAAGAACATCAATATCCACTCAATATCCACTCACATAATTATTAAGTGGTGAATAAAACATTTTCAAAAATGGCTTTTAGGGGCAGCAAACAGTGAGCAGATTTTGACCTTTCAGAAATTCAAACATTCTCTGCAAGTATTTTTGAAGTTTCCACGTTGTCAATGTTTGTCACATTGTTGTTATCTTAAAAAGCAGGCCTTTGTTGCCTCATACGTACTTGCTGGTTTTTGGTGTTTGGTGGTATCGCGTCCCTTCCTGTTACTACAGGTGGAGTCACAGCAGCCACACACTCCATCATTCCCACCAGCCTCCCTCCACCTGTTAACAAACTGCAGCTTTAGGGATACATTCAATCAAACCAGCATTGCATTATTGACGTAACATAAATATACCTTTCATGTATCGCATAACATACACTTTGTCAAAGTATAAACATTTATTTCATTAATGTAACATGTATTTGACCCAGGTGTAGAACGTACACACTTACGTATTAATGAGGGAGCAGGCCTTGTACTCAAAATCAATGGGGTAGGCAATTGTGGTTGCCTTCAGGTGACAGGTAATAAAGATCTGTTGGGATTTACCAAGAACATGGCCATTGTTACAGTGGCCACTATGACAATTAAAGCATAGGATAAATACACAATAAAACAATTATGTATCATGTGATATGTTTCCGTGTTATTTGTTAGTATTCTTTCTGCTTGTCTGCATAACTGCTCCGTGAGGGATAAATAAAGTAGTATTGAACTGAATGAATTAACTCACCGCGTCGAGCGGAATGGGATAATCTGAAGCAGTCTGAACAGGTGTCTTTGTTTTCTGCGGAAAAATTGGGTCACTCCCCCTCTGGCTCTGGAACCTGAAAGCCTCCACCTGGAACTGCAGCTTGTAGTCTGCGGAACGAGGTATGAACTGGGAGTGGGAACCTGTCACCTTGGCATCGATCAGACACCTGTGGGGGCAAAGATGGTGCATGGGCAGGGGCAGGGCAAGCATTAGCTGGGCTCACATTTAACAACATGACAGTCAGTGTACTCATTAAACTGCCCTGGTTGCCTGCACAACTCAAGAACGTGTTAGCCCTCTGCGCTAAAGCCTAAGCATTAGATGTTGCTCCGTCAAGTTTACTCATCACACTAGCACAGTTCACCGAACCCCCTCCGCTACTAATCCTACTAGAGCCAGTTTCCTGGACAGATCTTAAATTACATCACGAATAGGCTTCTTACATTAATCCAGAATAAAAAATTAATTTTTGAAACATTGCTTAACTTCAGATTACTGTCTTCTAGATCTAGACCGTGGAGTCCTTGATCGTGTTGCCCTACTCAGACGTTGAATGCGTCAACCAATGACAGATTGCTATAACATATTATGTGGTTAGCTGATATGTAAAATACCTATCCAAGCATTGTAACATCAAGTATGCGTCAGCAACATCTTAGGGGAACATGACTCTTGACAGAGGCTGCACAATTCTGATCTAAGGCCCAATTATTGGCAAAATAGCTGATCTGATTGATCAAAAGACCAATTAGTGGAAAGATATCAGAATTGCGCTGCATGTGTAAACGCAGCATAATTAGATGAACTATGTGCAGGTGGTTATGACCTGAGGTTGCTTCAGAAGCCTGGTATGCACCACACATATTCAAGCATTGTATGTATGAGCACAGACTGGGGCAAACAAGTAAAATAAAATAATGCAGAAGATAAAAGCAAACATTGCAGTTAATAAAATATTACCCCATAACAATATTATTCTGCAACAGATAGCCAAGAAAGTTTGGACAACCATTTAATGCAAGTGAAATCAATTACCTAATTCTGGAATAACTCACTTGGAAAAGGAACACTCCACTTTAACTTTAAACTGTCAGGGAAAGCAGGAAACCTATATTGCCATTGACACAGTGCATTATTCTGAAGCTAAACCTGCCTCCTTCTTGGTTTAGTTTATACCCTCATTTAGACCTGGACTAGCTCAAATGTTCTTTGTAGAAATCAGACTGTTTAATCCAGATTAGTTCAAGTCTATGACTATTTTAAACCATGTTTGAGAAATAACATTTTCATTAGTCCAGTTTAAAAGTGTATTTAAATCCAAGATTAGGCTTAATCTCTGTCTGCGAAACCACTCCTAGTGTTGACTGAACCCCCTCCCATACTTACCCATGATTCTCAATGAAGGCGTATCTAGGATTGGCGTTCATGTTGGGTTCCAGGGTGGCCACACAGCTGTCCACAAAGATACGCAGGGGGACGTGGAAGTACTGCATGACAGAGGCCTCGATGTTCACCATATCACCCAGCACGTACATGTTACCAGCCCTCTCATACTGCCAGTCAGCTGCCAAGAGAAGTTGTAACATTACATTTGCCATTGATACAAACATTATCGAAATTAACAGATGAAGTCTACTCCTGATCTAAAATGTACACTGAATTAAGAATTTCAATAGAACTCGATGGAGAATCTCTACTGAAAGTGCTTTTTAGTCCAGGAAAAATCTGGGTCAGGGATATTGGCTTTTTAGTGTGGACCCTCTCTACACTGCATCTTTACCCACCAGTCATGAGCCTCATGGAAAAGTACAGGAGTTCCTCTGCATACTTAGCAGCGGAGAAAGGGGTCCAGGTTGGGATCAGGGCCAGGCTGCTCACGTTGTGTTTCCTGGAGGAGAGGCATTGTTTAACAGATCTTATGTGTAAATGTGTTGTACGTCTGTATAGAAATCACCATACCTGTTTTTAATATTAATTGTGTTTCAAACTAAGAAGCTGAAAGCCAAATAAATGTCCCACTGTGGGTGTGGTGAACGTATGATAACTTTAATGCTAGTGTAACAGTGTAGTGGGGTCCTGTATTCACCTGCAACTAGAGACTCAATTCAATCAAACCTGCAATGTAATACATATATCTCTTTTGACAACTTAATTCTGCAGTCAGTAGTTTGTAAAAAATAGTATATATATTAAACAGATTAAAAATTGCTATAGTGGGATGGGGCTACCCTGGGTTGAGATTAATTCCTGAAATACTTCCAGTGTGCTTGATTTATCTTATACTACATGATGGGTGGGCAGGATTGGTACTTTTGGAACTGTTTCATTAGTTCCGTTGTGGCGGGCAAGCTAAATCAGGCTGTACTATTTGGACCTAGGTCTGCTTCTCCCACCTTGGATAGTGACATTCAATGTTGATCATAGCTTCATTTGTCCTGATGAGGGGGGTGTTTGCCAGAGGTTTGGGTTTGTAATTTAGAGTGAAGATATAGATGAGGGAGCTGGTAGTCATCTGAGAAACAATCACAACAATGTTAATACATTCACAAATGTAATTACAATATAGACCAATTTACTGTGGACAGGACTATAACATTTTAAAAAATCATTAAACCATTTGTTCAGGTAAATTGACAACTAATTGCCATGTACAATAATGCCCTACATATAATATAAATACCTGGGCTTGGATTTTTTTGTTGTTGACACTTAGCACCCATTTGTGGTTATAATTATTCCTTTTTCTTTTCAAATAATATAAATACAGTTCATTATTATCATTATCATCATTATAACACATACCCTTAGTTGGCTGCCACATGCCTGCAGTGCAGACTCAAAGATGAGCACCTGGTTGACATTGTCAAATCCAGTGATAGCGCAGTCTCCCAAAGTGAGGTCTTCTAGCTGGATCAACTGGCCGATCCCCAGCAGGTCGTGCTTTGCTTCCACGTGGACCATGTTCTCCCTACACTCAGCCGCCACTGAATTGGCAGCCACTGGGGTTCTCGCCTCTGAGCTCCCAACAACCTTGGGTTCTGGCTTTGGGTCCAGAGGATAGGTCCAATCCAGTGGTGTCTCAAACGTCTGCTTAGCCTGGGTGGGGTCTTTTGGTGGGGGCCTCGGCTTCTGATTCAGTGGTTGATAAGGCTGCTGAGGCTGCTGAGGCTGCTGAGGCTTGCGTCTGGAGGGTTGCTGCCCTGGTTTAGCTAAGGGTGGCCAAGACTGAGCGTCACACAGACAGCCAAGCATGGCCACTGCCACGAGACAAACTACACTCCACTTCATCGCCATGGCTTCACAACAAGAACTGATCAGCAATGTTCACTGGATGCTGTGAAGAGGATGAAGGAGTTGAGGCCACTTTTATAATGGATTGAGCGCTGTTTACTTATTGGAAACCCGCCCCCTCCTCATTTGAACATTCCCTATCAGCTCTGAGGAGTCAAGGTTTTAGCCAATCAAAGGATGTGGCTGATGGTCCTTTAATAGCAGACTATTCAAAGCAACTTCTTTATGCCAAATATTAAGTAATGTTATATTATCAAAAACATTTAAGAGTTTCAAGAATTTTGTTGTTAAACACCACTTTTTATATATATGAACAAATACAAGTCTATATCATGATTAAATGAAAGAAACACACTAACCTTTCATTAATTCTTAAAAAAAAGAGAAACTTCTGGTTACCATTAAATAATTTGAGATAATGTTGCATTTATTGACTGTAAGAGTGAAAAACATTTTACACACCTGAAGTCATGTTACATTCACATGGGGGTAGATTAAGTGAACGCGAAGCAGACTGCCTCGGTGAATGACCTCTCACACTGTGTATACTTGCAGAATTGACATTTATTGACATGTTGCGTGTCGGTCAGTAAGACCTCTGTCAAGGCCACAGTCGAACACACACAAGATCAACACAGGAGACTGCCCACTGGCCACAAACTGGTTGAATCAACGTTGTTTCAACGTAATTTGTCAACGTATTGTGACATGGAGTATATGTGGAAAATACATTGGATTTGCAAAAAGTCATCAACTTAAACTGTTGTTTTGAGGGTAAAATTTCAACCACAGGATTATGTCATCATGGTAACCAATTTTCAACATCCAATTATTTTCAGCCTACGTTTCGTTTTCAGGGCTGGGTTTTATTTGAATGTTACCACCCACCAGCATGGCATTGTTTATTAATCAGAAAGAGCTGCAAATGTATTCCTCTTCATGACTGAGATGAGCCAAACAGTCTTGTGTCCACTTGGCCGCCTGAGCCATGGAGCAAATATAAATAGAGAGTGCAAACCTATGTTTTTTCAGCCCTACTTTTTAATTATCATAATCCACTGGATAATTTGTCAATTTTCACTTATTTTTTTGGTAGTCTGTTTGAAGAAAGTATACACTGAGTCTACAAAACATTACGAACACCTGCTCTTTCCATAACAAAGACTGATCAGGTGAATCCAGGTGAAATCTATGATCCCTTATTGATGTCACTTGTTAAATCTACTTCAATCAGTGTAGATAAAGGGGAGGATACAGGTTAAAGAAGGATTGTTAAGCCTTGAGACAATCGAGACATGGATTGTGTATCTGTGCCATTCAGAGGGTGAATGGGCAAGGCAAAAGATTTAAGTGCCTTTGAACTGGGTATGGTAGTAGGTGCCAGGCTCACCGGTTTGTGTCAAGAACTGCAATGCTGCTGGGTTTTTCACGCTCAACAGTTTCCCGTGTGTATCAAGAATGGTCCACCACCCAAAGGACATCCAGCCAACTTGACATAACTGTGGGAAGCATTGGAATCAAAATGGGCCAGCATCCCTGTGGAACGCTTTCGAAACCTTGAAGAGTCCATGCCCTGACGAATTGAGGCTGTTCTGAGGGCAAAAGCCGCTCCCCCCGTCGCCCCACAATGAATGGTTTTGACCCCTTAAGTTTTGCTTCACTACATGCTCCACTACTTTGATTGGTGAAATGTCAGCTAGAAACCACAGGTGTCTATCCAGATAATGAAAAGGCACCCGCGAAAGAAAATTCAAGGAACTTAGTTACTTGTCATTTGTGATGTGCATGATCATGAGAAAAGTCATTGTAGCCTATCATTTCACTTCCCCTGTGAGAGCCATGTACACAGGCTGACTTGGCTTTGCTGTACCGCAGCCGGAGACTGCTAGCATCCTACTGTACATACAAATGGTGCACCATGTCCATTACAATATAGAAAAACGCATATCAGCTACTGTATCTATCAATAGTTATCCATATTACCCAAGCTTCATCTTATTCTTTCTAACTATTTCTGTGGTGGACTTGCGGCCGCAATTTATGGAAGATGCCTAAACCTTGGAGTTAACAATAGATGGCAAATTCAAAGATAGGCCAGTGGTTTCAATCTGTGGCAAAGTTTTCTTTAAATCAATGCTTATGCTAACTGGCTAAACTTTTGAATACGGTGTAGTAAAACAAAAAGCAACACCTGATAACATTAGCTAGCTAGATAAGGTTAGCATGCTATCTAGCTACACTGACAGCTGTCAGTGCCCTATTTGCTGATGTTTATCAACTCCATGTGGAAATTCCCACACCCGATTCACAAATATGTATAATTAGCCTTCGTAATTCTTCGGGGGTGGAACCTAAACTCGCATTTCCTCTCTATGACAGGAAATTGTGTTGAAATAGTGGCGGAATCTTCCTCTGGGGGAGGATCCTTTAATTCCAGTTTGTCTACAAATTAATAATTTATATGTTGGATTCACATCTCCATCTCAACCAACATTTTTAAAAGTATAGGACTAAATCAAATCAAACTTGAAATGCACTTTAAATAAAGTTTGATTTGGTTTAGTCCTATTCTTCAAATGTTGATATTTGGTTGCGATGTCAACCAAACACAATTCATTATTACTTTTGTAATACCGTTAATAGCCTAATGTTAAGGCTATCTTATAAACTAATGTAAGAGTATTTATTCAACCTTAAAATGAGTAACACATCCATGGCCACATTTTGAGGTTACTGTTACTTCAGAAAGTATTTCATACACCTTGACTTATTCCACATGTTGTTGTGTTACAGCCTGAATTCAAAATGGATTAAATATAATACCTTTTTAACCATCTACACACAATACCCCATAATAAAAAAGTTAAAACATGTTTTAGATTTTTTTGCAAATGTATTGAAAATGAAATACAGAAATATCTGATTTACATAGGTGTTCACAACCCTGAGTCAATAGTTTGTAGAAACACCTTTGGCACCGATTAGTCTTTCTGGGTAAGTCTCTAAGAGCTTTCCACATCTGGATTGTGCAACATTCGCCCATTATTCTTTTCAAAATTCTTCAAGATGTCAAATTGGTTGTTGATCATTGCTAGCCAACCATTTTCAGGTCTTGCCATAGATGTTCATGTAAATTTAAATCAAAATTGTAACTTGGCCACTCAGGAATATTCACCGTCTTCTTGGTAACCAACTCCAGTGTAGATCTGGCCTTGTGTTTTAGGTTATTGTCCTGCTGAAAGGTGAATTAATCTCCCAATGTCTAGTGGAAAACAGACTGAACCAGGTATTCCTCAAGGATTTTGCCTGTGATTAGCATACATATTTTATCCTGAAAAACTCCCCAGTCTTTAACGATTACAAGCATACCCATAACATGATGCAGCTACCACTATGCTTGAAAATATGGAGAGTGGTGCTCAGTAATGCGTTGAATTGGATTTGCCCCAAACATAACACTTGGTATTCAGGCCAAAAAGCTAATTGCTTTGCCAATATTTTTGCAGTATTACTTTAGTGCCTTGTTGCAAACAGGATGAATGTTTTGGAATATTTTGATTCTGTACAGGCTTTCTTCTTTTCACTCTGCCAATTAGGTTAGTATTGTGGGTAACTACAATGTTGTTGATCCATCCTCAGTTTTCTCCTATCACAGCCATTAAAATCTGTAACTATTTAAATGTCAGATTTTTTTTTACTGCTCGACTGAGGGACCTTACAGATAATTAATTGTATCTGTGGGGTACAGAGATGAGGTAATCATTCAAAAATCAGAGATGAGGTAATCATTCAAAAATCATGTTAAACACTGTTTGTCACGATCGTCATACGAAGCAGACCAAGGCGCAGCGTGATATGAGTACATACTTTATTATAATTCACCACACAAACAAAAACAACAAAACGATACGTGAAGTCCTTGGTAACATACACAAACCTACACGGAACAAGATCCCACAAAAGACAATTGCACAATAGGCTGCCTAAGTATGGTTACCAATCAGAGACAACAAGCAACAGCTGATTCACATTGCCTCTGATTGAGAACCACCCCGGCCAACATAGAAACACATAAACTAGATCGTGAACATAGAACACAACACATAGACACTACACACCCTGGCTCAACATAAAAGAGTCCCTAGAGCCAGGGCGTGACACTGTTATTGCACACAGTAGCCATAACAAAGAGGTTGAATACTTATTGACTCAAGACATTTAAGCTTTTCATTTTTAATTCATTTGTATAAAATTCTAAAAAATATCATTTCACTTTGACATTATGGGGTATTGTGTGTAGACCAGTGACGAAAAAATCTAAATGTAATCTATTTTACATTCATGCTGTAGCCTGTAACACAACAAAATGTGGAAAAAGTCAAGGGGTGTGAATACTTTTTGAAGGCACTGAAAATGTCATCCTATGTAATCATAGAAAGCCTGCATGTTCAAGATAGCATGTAATGGTCGCAGGTCTGTTGAGATCTTCACAATTGCTATAGTAGCATAATATGCAAAGAATCGCAAACAGCATCGATCAATTACACTATGTATAAGCGGACACATGGAATAGTTTTTAAGATGGTCATACCATGGATAATTTAGCTATTTGATTTTGAATTTTAGAACCCCTATAGGTATAACAAAAAAAAAATTAAAAAATGATTTGATAAAATATTGAATTTGGCCTTTAGTACCAAATCCCATAAACAAAAAGGTGTAATGGGTCTGCACTCAAAAAGATGTCACATAAAGCTTACTTCATTATTCCATTTGGTTTTTTCACTGCATCAGGGATAGCATAGAAGCGCATTGAATAACACATTCATAAATGGCAAAAGAAAGACAGTCAAAAAATAAATCATAAGGAATAAGGTTTTTAAGTGTCTGTCCCATATCTAGGAGATGTAAGAAAGCTCAGGAAAATAATGATATACAGTACCAGTCAAAAGTTTGGATTGACCTACTCATTCAAGGGTTTTTATTTATTTGTAGAATAATAGTGAAGATATCAAAACTCTGACACATATGGAATCATGTAGTAACCAAAAAAGTGTTAAACAAATCAAAATACACTATGGTCAAAGTTTCAGAACACCTACTCATTCAAGAGTTTTTCTTTATTTTTACTATTTTCTACATTGTATAATATAGTGAAGACATCAAAACTATGAAATAACACTTATGGAATCACGTAGTAACCAAAAAAGTTTTTAAAAAATCAAAATATATTTTATATTTGAGATTCTTCAAATAGCCACCCTTTGCCTTGATGACAGCTTTGCACACTCTTGGCATTCTCTCAACCAGCTTCATCTGGAATGTTTTTCCAACAATCTTGAAGGAGTTCCCACATATGCTGAGCACTTGTTGGCTGCTTTTCCTTCACTCTGCGGTCCGACTCATCCCAAACCATCTCAATTTGGTTGATGTCGGGGGATTGTGGAGGCCAGGTCATCTGATGCAGCACTCCATCACTCTCTTTCTTGGTAAATTGGCCCTTACACAGCCTGGA